CCCCAAAACCCCAAAACCCCAAAACCCCAAAACCCCAACTCTTCTATAAAATATAAACCATTCTAAGCCTCCAATGGAATTGCCAAAGTGAGATTACCAAAAAGAGTGAAGTACAGTTGCCTTTATGATAAAGGCAAGACCAGAGGGATGTATCCCAGAGGATATCTTTGTGTGAGCCAAGTGATGTGTAACTAGGTTTACGGAAGAGGAGAGTTCAAGAGTGCCTGAAAGTGGGGAGGTGCTTGAGTGCTTGGAGTTTGGTAAGGGACTGGAAGGAGAATTTTAGGGTGGAAAGGGGGTTTTAAGAGGGTTTGGAGGGTTATGGAGTGGTTTGAGGGAGGTTTTGGGAGCTGTTGTTGAATTTGATTTTTTTGGTCGAAAACAACATTTTTGGAGGTTTTAGGGAAATAATATGATATAGTTGAGCATCATCTTAATAAAATTAATCATTTCAGAGAGTGGCACAAACTTGACCAGAAGTGTAATATTCAATGGACTAAATTTCTGCCTGACCTCAAGATCTATGAACTAAGCCATATGCAACTCAAGAGTAAGCAATAACCCTTAAAAATTACATCTCCGTCTTTGTTCCAATTTCATAAAACCTAATCTTATTTGTTCGTCACAAAAGTTGGTCGATTTACAAATTAACGAAAGTTTCGAAGATTTTAAGTTATATTGCCAGTAGTTCTTCAGTGGATTCCTTATAATCATTCGGTAATACTTTAGAGATTATAAGTTACTTATCATTTATGACAGTCCAGATATCATTGGAATTCACTTTGGTTGCCTCTGGATGTTTGAATTATAATAAAGTCCACATTGGACAATTTAATCTTTCATGAAAATTACGATCAGATATAATTCTAAGTTTAGAAGATCTAGCCTTAGCAAAGACTACTAATGATTGGGCACATTTGCCTTATCTGCTAATAGAGGCCAAAGAGCTTGTGAATTCGGTCAAAACCTCTAAGATCTTCAATGAATACTGCAAGGAATTGAGCTTTAGAGAGTTTAGAGATGATAAATTTGATGCCAACAAGATGCACTATGCTTCCAAGATTTGGACCAATAAGCAGCTGATGAAGCTCAGAAATCACTTAACCACAACAGAGTATGGCAGGGTCATTATTAAGATTGGAGAAATGCAAGAGATTTGTAAAAAGCATGAGAGAATAATATAAAAGAACAAGAAAGAGAAATAATAAAGAAAGATCAAGAAATTGATCAAAAAGATGCCAGAATTGAATTTAGTGATCAAGAAATTCTCAAATTAAGAGGAGAAATCCAAAATGAAGAACAAAAAGCTAAACAGCTAATGAAGGAGTTAAGCGAAAAAGATGAATTTATTCTTGCACATAGAAATGAGGTTTATTCCTTGACCCATAGAAATATTGAACTTCAAGAAGAGATAGAGAAGATCTATAAGGATATAGAAGCACTGAAGAAAACTTTAGAGCAAAAGGAGAGAGTTGTAAAAGGCTTACAAAATTATAAGAGAAAAGAAGCTATCAAGGAACTGGGCTGTCAATCAGATCGAGCAATGTTTGCAGGTAATTACTCTCATTGTTGTAGGATAGAATGATAGTACAACCTGTTCAATTTCACAGCTTGTTCGCTTACTGAAGCCTGTCTTCTTCTGAAGAGGATGGCTGATAGTTGAAATTTTTAGGAAGAAATTTATTGTGAGGGGTTGTGGGTGGGAAATTTTGGAATTTGGGGGAAGGGGTAGAGAGGGCAATGATCAGGGTTGTGGGAAAGGAGTGGATTTATGTTGAGGATATAGAGAAATCTAAGCATATGAATGGGTCAGGAGGTATCAGAGGAATTATGAAGAGAAAAATAGAGGCAATAAGGGAAACGTTAGAGCTTGATTTTTGATTTTCATATAAATATCATAGAAAATTTCTCAAGGAAGTAAAGCATCATAAAATAACGTCTCTCGAATCCTTAAGCTTTGATCGTCCTGATTTGCTAGAAGAGCCTGAAACGCTTAATCAATTTCTTTCGGACTTAATTTGAGAGAACACAAATTATTGAAAAACTTCCTTCATTAAAAATTCAAATTCTCTTATGAAGAAAAACATCCACTGCCTTTGACTCATTATATAACCCCTATTATCAAGACGCTTCCCTGAGTCACTCAAGAAGTCTGCTTTAGTGGTACTAAAGTGAGCAAGACACAATTGGAGGGACTCTTTGTTGCTTCCAAAAATGCCAAGAAAATATCATTTATCAACTGTAAAATTGAGCCTGGCAATGAATGCGGTTTCGGAGAAAAACTTGAAGGAGCTACCTTTGAAACCCTTGATTTTTATGGAACTGGCAAAGGATACTATAGCAACTGGTCCTAAGATAACTTTATAAAATTCAAAAACATACTAAAAGGCCTCTCCAAAACCCCCAGTGTCACAGAAAGAGACATCACTATCTGCCTTACATTCTGTGACATGACTAGGGCTGAAGCTGAACAGATTTTGAAGGAGTGTGGAATGGCTAATATGAAGGCACAGATTGAAGTTAATTATTTCTTTAGGTAAATAATGATGGGTTGGAAACTTCAATTTGGAGATTTTGGTACGGGGTTTTGGGGTTTTGGGGTTTTGGGG